GAGGAGCTTCATTTACTTTCTAGTTTGAATCTGTGTGTATCTGAGTTCCTTGTCCTCACCTTAATTCTCATCTAATTAAAAAAAATACTCTTTACCAATTTGTCATAAGGGATTTCAATCTTCCTTATTTTTGCAAGTACAGAGAGTTGATGCCCACATTGAAACTGATAGTCAGGAAGACAAGCTACTAGAAAGAGTAAGACAGAAGGCCCAAGAGAGAACAGTCAAAAAAATAGAGAGGAACCTGTGACATAGAAGAAGGCAGACAAAACTGGAGCAGAGAGGGATGGCAGAGAGAAAAAAAATAGGTTGGGAAGGGGAAAGGAGAATAACTGACAGAAGCAGGCAAGACTACCAAAAGAAAGACAAGCCAACAGAAAGAGGACCAGAGAACGTGAAGGCAGACATAAAGGAAGAAAAGAATAAGTGATAACGTTCTATACAAACATAGTCCTTCACAATTTATAGAGTGCTATCACATACATTATTGCAGGCAAATGGGGACTCTCCAGCAGACAGATGGGGTGATGGAGGGATACAGGCCAATCAGACAGATGAGAAGGGAGATAGCCAATCAGAGAAAGAGGCTAGAGTGGAGATGAAGACAGACAGATAGGAGGAAAGACAGAATCAAGAAGAGAAATGAGAGAGGGAGGGAAAACCCACAAGGATAGTAGTTGAAAGAGTTCAATTCAGGAATGCAGGCAGTTTTTAAAAAATCAAAAATGAAAGAACAGTGCATTATGTGTGGAAGTTTAACATCTTTCTCAAAAAGACTTGGTTACAGGCTGAGTCTTTGTCTCTAAGGTGAAGAGCCAAAAGGAAGAGATAGAGATAGAGATAGAGATAGAGATGAGAGAGAGAGAGAGAGAGAGAGAGAGAGAGAGAGAGAGAGAAAGTTTTAATAAGGAGCAAACATTTTTAGATGAGGAGGAAGACAAACTTCTTAGAAAGGCCTAAGTCAATAACCTAAATGGATCTAGGTTCACATCTTTAATTCATATAGACCATGTAGACTTACATTCATGGTGCATGCCTACCGATGTACAACACTTGGGAGGCTGAAGCAGAAGGATCTTGAGTCTAAGGCCAGCCTGGACTACATACCTAGGCCCTGTCTTCTAAAAAAAAAAAAAAAAAAAAAAAAAGAAAGGGAAAGAAACAATTCGTATAGATGTGTGAAAGGCAAAAGGCAGAGTAGGCCTCTATCTACATGATATGTAGGTGTGCACAGCTCACCCACTAATATACCTGTAATCTTTAGGGCAGCTTTCAGCACTTACAGTGCTTTCATGTCTTTTTTATTTTGAGATGGGGTGGGGGGGTTCTCACTGTGTAGCCCTGGCTGGCCTGGAATTTACTATGTAGACCAGGTTGGTCTCCAGCTCACAGAGATGAGTTACCTCTGCCACTTCAGTGCTGGGATTAAAGGTGTGTGCCACTATGCCCAGTTCCTGTCTGTTTTTTAAAAATGTCTTTTTAAAAGCTGGGCGTGGTATTGCACACCTGTAGTCCCAGCACTTTGGAGGCAGAGGTAGGCAGATCTCTGTGAGTTTAAGGCCAGCCTGGTCTACATAGTGAGTTTCAGGACAGCTGGAGCTACAGGGAGACCCTGTTTCAAAAAGAAAAAAAAAGTCTTTTTAAAATACATATTTCAGTGAAGAGTCCAACAAAGGTGTGTCGTCATCCAGATAACCTACCATGTACAATAGGAGATTACAGAAAGCAAGCTGTTCCTAAGCGTTTTTATTTTTTTGTTTTTTGAGACAGGCTCTCCCTGTAGCCCCAGCTGGCCTGGAACTCACTATGTAGACTAAGGTTGGCATCAATCTCACAGGGCTCCACCTGCCTCTGCCTCCCAAGTGCTGAATGTACCAGGCCCAGCTTCTAAGCATTTATTTGAAACTGGTAGTAAAAACAAGTAACTGTCAACCAGTCAATTATAAAGGCAAGTGCCACAAAGTAGAATGAAAAAATAAAAAGGAAGAGGCAGCAAGTCCATCAAAGTTAGGAAGTACTGACAGATGACAGAAAAAGTATCTAGCAAACCTGGGATAGAGGTACTAAGAAGCACAGCAAAAAGTAGTATACATGTGTGGACTCTTCACTGGAGGAGTACCCAAGAAATATAAAATAATGGCTGCCTCTGGGAAAGAGAACTTTCTGACTTGGGGGAGAAGGATATGTGGGATACTTTTTCTAGTATAGGTTTTGTACTTTTAAAACTGTATACTGCCGGGAGTGGTGGCACACGCCTTTAATACTGTGGCACATGCCTTTAATACTCAGGAGGCAGAGGCGGGCGGATCTCTGTGAGTTCAAGGCCAGCCTGGTCTATATAGTGAGTTCCAGGACAGCTGGGGCTACAGGGAGACCCTGTCTCCAAAAGACCAAAAAAAACCAAACCAAAACAAAACAAAAAAAAACCCAAGAAAACTGTATACCATGTACATGTCTATCCAAAAGTGGACTGTAGAAAAAAATACCTCAAACAAAACAAGAAAAAAGAAAAGCAAGCAGAGATGTGGACAGCAAGAACCTGCCATGCAGACAGCAAAAAGGCAGCAAAATAGAGACTGGGAAAATAGCAAAAAGACTGAGGTGGGCAGACTGTGAAAGCAGAAAGGATGAAAAAGAGACAACTAAAAAGGAGACAAATGTGAAAGAAGGCAGGATAGGAAATATGGTATCCTGCCTCAATGAGGTAATATGGTATCCTGAGCTCAATGAGGCTTTAAAGCAAGGGGGCTACTGAAAGGCCTGGGAAAGACTGTCGGTCGGCACTGGTAAGTTGTTGGCACCGGCCTTGGAAGCCAAGGGAGAAAAAGCTGATACACAGAGTGAAAAGATACAAGCATTAAACAGTGGAAGAGCAACAGGCATGTAGGATAGGCAGGCAGGAAGACAGAGCTAAAGGGAGGCTAAGGAAAAGGATGAATTCAGCAGAGATACACAGCAACAGAAACATGTAGAAGATCAAGATAAGAGGCAAACCATTATGGGAACTGTGGCAAGGCCTGGGAGGCAGACAAACCAAGAAATCTGGGCTTAGAAAGTGATAGAGACAGGCAGGCAGGGAGACAGATGGCTAAAGAGAGAGTGATGGGCACAAAGCCAGAGAAGCAGACAGACAACCAGAGAGAAAAAGAAGCTGCCAGCCAGTCAGGGAGGAGCAGACAAGCAGGCAGGCAGACACCGTAACAGGAGCAAGCAGGTAGACAGGCAGACAGAAACAAGGGTAGATCAAGTGGTCAGTAGGGAGCAAAAAGAGCAAGTGCAGAGGGGGGAGATGAATAAAGAAGAGGGGCAGGTAAATTAACAAGTCCATCTGTAAGGACAGAATGATGAAGATCCACACAGGGATGCACACAGCCACCTTTAGACACCTACACTTGCACATCATGACACATGTGGCAGGCAGGCAGAGATGCTTGGCACAAAGGGTACGAGAGACTCCTTCACACATGCTGTACAATGTGGCCCGCACACATGTAAAGACACTCTTCTTAGACTGAGGATGATCCCTCCACACACAGGGGACTAGGAAGAGGGTGAGTCAGGCACATGAGGAAGGGCCACATGCAGTCACAGACCAGAAGAGAGAAGTAAACAGAAGCCAGAGATGGAAAGCCACTTAGGAGTGATGGAGCCCTAGAGTCAAAGGGATGAGAAAGATGGTCTTAGAGAAAAATAAAGCACACAGAGAAGTTGACAGATAGGAAGAGGGGCACCCAGACAAACTAGTACTGATACTAGGGGACAGGAGCTAAACTGAACAGAAGGGAAAGTTTGACTGGATGTGGAAACAATTTGGGAGCGTAGGCAAGAGAATTCCACAGGCCTGTTTTTTTATTTATTTATTTATTTATTTATTTATTTATTTATTTATGTATTTAGGTCTTTTTGAGACAGGGTCTCCCTGAAGCCCCAGCTGTCCTGGAACTCACTATGTAGACCAGGCTGGCCTTGAACTCACAGAGATCCACCTGTCTCTGCCTCCCGAGTGCTGGGATTAAAGGCATGCGCCACCACGCCCCACTGTTTTTTTTTTTAAAGATAGAAACCAATGTTCAATAAGGTACATCAGCTGGCGGGGAGGGAGCAGAACATTAATAAGAAACATTTTAACATTGTAAACAAAAATTTGTAGACTACTCCTTTGTCACTGATACTCTCTGATTGCTGCCCACCTTCCCCGCAGGGTGCTTGTGAACACTGCAGAGCTGAGGGCACAGCAGCTACACTTAAGAGGTAGAGAAATGACCCAGGAAAGAGATGATGCTCAGGCTTAGGATGGGAAGCAAGGGAATAAGGCAAAGACATTAAAAGAATGGCCGGTGTGGGGGGATGCTAGAAGAAGAAAAGGGAAAACGGGCAGCAACAACAAATGTAGAACTGAGTTTTTTGCCATTTTGCTCCTTGGCAAGTTTTATTTTCATCTAGACCTTTCTCATCAAATCTCTATAGGAAAAACCTACTTTTAGACTCCTTGTCAACTGTCTGTCTGGTTTCTGGTACCACTCTAAAATAAACACTGGGATACAGTTAGAAAATATGGGTGAGCCAGCTAAATGAAAAGGCCTGTGTGGAACCCCCTACCTCTTTCTTTTTCTCAGTCCCAGTTCCTTTTCTCTTCCCCAGTGCCTGTTTCTTCTACTTTATCAGTGTTGGAAATCATGGAAGAAGAGAAGCACCCTGCAACAGGAGAAAAGAGAAAATAATTTCACAATCTTCGCATGTGACTCTCTCCCCTTTATTTTAAAAATCTGTTCTATTCATCCTCAAATTAATTGTTCAAGTCAGATGAATTTTACAAGCAAGCAGTTGGGGGAGGGGAAAGGAGAAAAGAGTGGAGATAAAATTTACAACAATTATAAAGCACTGAAAAGGCCGGGCAAAGGGGAGAATCAAACATGGACTCCTTTGAAAAAACTCAATCATCACATCTATTCATATCTCTTCCCCAAAAGTCACTAGGATTTCTGTCACTTTTTTTAAAGAAAGAAGAAAAAAAAATCCGGCTCCACTTCTCATTTAAAAGGTATGTACACAATTAAATGCATTTTGACTTCAATGAGGTGTGTAGAGAGTTATATATAAACATATATTTCATCTTTTTCCTTTTCAATGCCTGAAGGGGAAAAAAAAAAAACCCTTCACATCAAACCACTCCCTTCTGAAGTATTCAAAAAAAAAAAAAAAAAAGCTTTTCTTTAGAGAAGGGAGGTGGGGGAGAGGAAGAGACTAGTAAAGAAAAAAAAAATTCAATCTAGTTGGACTAGTATCTAACTAGTTAACCTTTAACAATTTATGCTGATGTCAGACTGAGCATGAGTACTGATTAATGCCCCCCCAAATATTTTTATAAGGGGGGAGTTAAGTCACAGCAGCCATTTTTGTTTTATGCAGAAATCCTTCATGCCCCCCCAACACACACACACACACACACACACACACACACACACACACACACACACAATTCAATACACAAGAAAAATATCTCCATTAATCTGGGCACTAATCAGTTGTATATAAAAAAAGAAATTTGTGGGTTTCTGGGTAGAAGCTTGGCGATGGGGTGTAACAGGGAGGAGGATGTATGAAAAATGAAATATTAAGCCAGCCATTTTGTTTTAAAAGGGGATTTTCCCCCCTCTCTCTTTCTTTATGGAGGGGGTGGTGGTGTTCCAGGGGGGGTTGTTTTAAAAATAATTTCAAGGCGGCCATTTTAGTGTCTCAGCTCTGAGAAATATTTCTGAGCGCCCCCCTCAGAATTTAAATATATTTAAAGCAACCAAGAGGGGGGTTGAGAGAAGTCGAAAACTTTTATATACATATATAATTTTTTTTAAAAAAACGATCCCCCTTTCTTGTTCTCTCAGGAGGAAA